GTTGTGTGTTTGACGTGGCTTCCTGATTGTTTAGAGAATCTCGTAATTTCAATTAGAGGACCTTGAATTTATTATGTTTTGTATCGGACTAAATGCCAATTAAATACTGCAATTTATCTTTCGGCAAAATGGAGAAAAATGCAAAGATGGAGTGGTTGAAAGTCACGTGTTTTCAATATGAAGTGTTAGAATCTTTCACCCGGGGCGTGGCCGTCAGTCCTGACCTTATCAGTAATACAATTTTACGGCGGTGATGTTGTCATGTTGACGTGTGATGGATTTCCAAAGTAGGGAAATGTTTCTCCGGAATACGAGGGAAGACGCCGTGAATGTGACAGACGTACTACAGGAAACACGAAGTTAACAAAACCGGGAAATCGACTGACAAGCCGTCGTGTCAACGCGACGCCTCGTAATGTTTACTGCTCGCCATGCGAAGAGTTTAAGGTCGAAACAGCTCGTCCCAGGTAAAAATTTTTTTTTAGCGATTTTGGTCGGAAACATTTGCAAGTCTCGGAGTGTAGCAAGCAAGGGGGGGGGGTGCCGTCAGTACAACGCACTCTGTTCAAATTCGTATTTGCCGTCTTCACCTTAGACTTCGAGATTGCTTTTGTGCGTTCCCACAGCATAACATATGACCTGCTAAAACACGCGAATTCAAACGCCGAGCGCACGTCGTACTGGGTTTCGCGATTCGACTGTAACATCGACTTTGGCTCTGCTTGGACGCCGGGCGTCGGGTAAGACGGACGTGAACTTTGCTCGACATTCGTCTGTTACTGCAACATTAGTCAGGCGGCCCATACGTACTCTAAAGTAATTGAAATGACGAAACGTTGTTCAATTTGACGCATGAAACAGCTGTCATGCTCAACCGCGGTGTTTGTTATAATTAATTCTCGTAATGATTACCATTTCCACTGTCACATCTTATTTTTTAATGCACAAAGAATAATAACTCTCCATTTCCCGGTAAATGTTTATGTTTTAACATATTCGACTATGTTATATAATAATTCACGTCTAAACATTCCGTAATTTAAATTTGTCATCAAATAAGAGGCAATTCTATGTTGGCAGTAAACTTCTCATGCGTGTGGTCAGTAACGATATGTTAACACATCGACGTTGAAAGACAAAATTCACAGTGAACGGCATTCCAATTAAATTAACATTGTAATGCACCCAGAACTTGCAAATGTCGGAAGGAACTTCTCAAAAATAGGATTTTATACACTGACGCAAATCGGAAATTCAGGTACAACTTATTCAACAGGGAATTGATACTACATCCATTGAGCAGAGTCCTTTTGAGAAGCTGACGTTCATTCAGGTAGTCAAGATATTGCTAGCTCTTCATAGAATCCGTGTGTTCATAAACGCCTGTCTCTAATCCCCGTCCTGAGCCAGATGAGTCCATTTTAAGTCGTTCTTCCGTGTCGTCTCGTCACTTCGGGGTTTCAAACTTCTCTCATGTCTCGCCCATCTACTCCACGCTGGTTTAATTATCATAATTACATTCTGTGACGAACATTGGTCACTGTTACTTTATTAAGAGGTTTTCCCCAGCCTTCGTCACTTCGTCCATCATAGGTAGCGACATTTTTCTCAACACCTCGTTCTTAAGTTCTCTTGATCTGCATTTCTCCCTTAATATGACTCAGTGCAACAAATTGCGGGTTTTTGGGAATGTCTTAAACTTTACGTAATACATCGTTGCTAGATTTTAAAGAGCTTCAGCCTCATATCTTTTATTTATTTTGGTCTATATACACGGCACATGCTTGCCTTGATATTCTCTCAGGGCTGAAGATGTTCTAGGCATAGTTAGTTTATTTTCTCGTCTTCAATTTACCTGTAATTTCCTCTCTTCGTCTGATCATGTCCATTAATGTATGTCTCTTAACGGGCAGCAAGATCTTCAGTCTCACCGTCCACGGTCTTCACTAACCACAAGAGAATCGGAACTTTATCTCTGTTTTTCATGTATTTCATTTAGAATTTGCTTCTATAGTGCCCATATTTTTGCATCTGTAAAGTTTGACACAAACATCTTCATCGTGATCAGAGCATTACTTCAATGAGACGCGTAATCAAACCACACGGAAGCATAACTCCAAAGACTCTC